CCCCAAAACCCCAAAACCCCAAAACCCCAAAAAACTTAAAAAACGTATTCTAAGATTAATTTGGTATTGATAAATTTATTCAAATGATTAATTCTTAAAGGCTTAATAAAAATAAGTACACAATTAATAGTAAATTCTAATGGAAAATATAATTTTTATAATTAGAACTCTGAAATTAGCTAATAGTACTACACTCTAAGTATTAATAATGACAGATATTTTACAGCATTTAGCTAAGACCTACGAAAAATCTCCATCTAGAGAGAGGGCTTAGAAAAATCAAGATAAATCCAAGCAAAATAGTGATAGAAAATTTGGAGCTACAAGAAAATCGGAAGATTCTTCTTCTTCTTTCTTTTTCAGGTAAACGAATCCCTAGGAATTTGAGTTATCTCCAACTTCACCTCCTTAAAAAATGATTAGAAATATGAATGACAATAATAAAGTACTTTAGGTTCATAGATCGATAGCTCAAAATCTATTTAGAGACTTCAAGATAGCTTAAAGAAGAGATAGCTTAATACATACTCAACAAGAAAGGTCAATCAGTACTAATAAATATAATGAGAGATAAGCTAATGCAAATGAATTGAGAGAAAGTGTGTCATCATTCAAAAACATCTTAAAGAACTCTCAAACAAAGAAAGATAGCAAGCAAGATGTTACTTAGAATCATGAGGCAGATGAAGTTAATTCCTCTATTATTGTAATAGATCCTGTAGAAAGTAATAGATCAATAAAAATAAGTGGCAATTTAATGAAGTCTTCATCTTAGAATAGATTCAGTTGTTCATCAGTACTAAATCTAAGGAAGAAAGAATCAAAAACTAATTAAAACTCTCTAAATAATTCAATGGTTAAATAGTAATCGTCATAGTCAAAATCTAGCGTGTAACAGTATAGCAAGAGTAATAATGGCAAAGTTAATGTGAATTTTAATTCTAAGCCATCGGCTTTAAATTCAAAGTAGGTCTAGAATAGAGTATAGCATTAAGTTAAAGTTGTAAGATAAATAGATAGTAGCTAAATGGCTGCAAATCGTTCATTATCTCAAATTAGATCTCGAGGTTCCCTCACTGATGAGAAAAATGGGCTCCAGAGTACTCAAATCTTAAATGAAATGAGAAATTCTCCCCTTTATAAATATCAAAAGCGAATAGCAACGATGTATAATTCACCCTCAAGAAATTAATCAGAATCTACAAATAACTCCCTTATCAGACTTAATCAAACAAATATAAGTCTTAATAACACTTAAAAAGATAAAAGAGATAAGCTTAGTAGTTCGTAACTTAATTAAGATCTTAAAATTGTTGAATAATGCTTCAGCAATGGAAACTAAGATAGCTTGAAAAAGAGATAACCAATATTAAATAAAAAGGATGTATAAAAACAAGAATAAAGGTTAAACAAATTATAGCTTATAAGTAAGGCAGAGTAAAAGCCAAAAAATTTTGAGACAATCCAAGAGAAAAACGAGGAAGAAAAGATGATATAAATTGATAATGAGCAGTATAATACTGAAGGCAAGTAGAATAAGATTTCTGAGGATACTCCAAAACATTAAAATTAAACAGCCAATGTCAGCTGGATAAAGACATAACTGGATAAGGAAAAAGAAAGGCTATCTAAAAATATAAGCTAAATCCAGTAGATTAAACCAGTTAAGACATCTAAATGAAAATGAAAGAGTTTTAGTATTATTTATTGATAAGATTTAAAGAACATTAATATCATTCCTACATCGTGTGATAATATCATTTTCTTATCTTCATAAATACGAACACTCTTAATCACACATTAGTTTTGTCTATTTCCTATTCATTCATCCTCTTCATATCTGTCCTTGACTATTTCTTTAAGCTCTACTCTAATCTCTGAACAGTCATGTCCTCTCAAAACATCTTTCTTAAAATACACATTAACCTTCATATTAAGCATATCTAGGGCACCTCTAATAACTCCACACACTACATTTGAATACCATAGCTTTTGATTTTGCATTGGAAGCACCACAAAATCAGCAAGTGGATTTTCTCTCAAGATCAAACTGAATGATTTATTATCTCCATCAAAGTTAGCTATTTCAGCAGTAACTCCCATAAACATCTTAAATGCCTATTCTGCAATGACCTTAGCAGTATCACTTAAGTCCTAGCACAATCCTTGAGTTGGAGATTTAGCAAAGAATTCATCTACAAGTCTGCAACCTATGTTAAATCCCATCTTATCTAGAATCGCATTAACCTCTTCTGCGTTATCTGTATCCTTAATGAGTTTATGAACGAAGGCACCGTATGTTAATGCAAGCAATTCTGCAGAAATTTTTGGATTCTTTGCGAAGATGTTTTCTCCTTGCTTTGCATGGATTGATTATTATTTCGACATTAATATAGTATTAGATTTTATATTTAAAAAATATTATAATTTTAATTTTATAGAATTGAGGATTTATTACTCACAATAATAATAGCTTATGAAACGAAGAGAAAAATCTTAATAAGGAATACAAGACATGGATAATTCTATCGACAGATTTCAAATATAAAATTTTGAACAGGAAAATGTGTATGGCACTATTAATAACAAGTCATGAGATTACTTAATGAAGAATATGTTCAATAGAAAAAATCAAGATGGAAATCAAGATATTACAGCAATAGGGAATTTTGAAACAATACAAGAGAAATAAGCAAGAGAATTATTAAACTAGCTGAGAACATAAAAGATACGTAACACGATTGAGAATCATTTTGTGAATAATCTGCGATTCAATTAAACAATAATATCATAACTTCCTCATTGATGCATCAAAGATAATCTCTAAAATTGACAAAATAAGTTTCCTAACACTAATTCTAACTAAGGCAAAAGAACCAAATCTGAAGTAATTATAAGAAATAATAAAGAAACTAAAGGTAGCATGAAAGAAAAAATTTAGAAATTTAATGAGCAATTAAGATCTGAGAGAGAATATAAAAAATATCTTCAAAGGTAGATATCAGCAAATATTAAGTATTCAGACGTCTCGAAATAGATTATAAAAACGACCAAGAAAAAACAATCTAGAAATTTATCTTAAAAGTCCCTACTCTCTGGCTTTAAAGATCATGTATCATCTAGTTCTTCTTCTTAATCAGATAAGGAAACAGGTCCTAATATTCCTTATCACTACTAATATAACAAAGATGATTCAGATTATCTAAAACAGAAAAAGTATCAGGTAAGACTGAGGGATCTATATGAGTTACTTGGAAATAACTAAGCTTGTATATTGCCAGATCCCTAACTTTAATGCAAAGATGGTATTCCACTGTTCAACATTTTCATGGAGGATTTTAAGGAAAGGAAGTAGTATAATAATTTTAGAATGAATTTCAAACTTAGGGATACAAAGAAAGATACATGCTAACTTATTGGAGATATAATTAGGCCTTAAATAAACAAAATAAAAGCTAAAAACCCCAATTTTTAATAATCTGAATCAATAAATTAGCATAAGTCTAAGATCACTCAATTTAAAATGAAGCTAAAGGAGGAGCTCTAAAACGACATACAATAGATAAAAGCTATTGATTTTTCCAAAGATAAATATCTATAAAACTTTCTAGATTAAAAGTAAATTGAGGAAGTCGATAACGGAAATTTGATTTTATAGCACAATATAAAACTGAGAAAAGAATCTGGCAATGGAGGCGGAGTTACTAATCAATTATAGACTTTTCATTTAACTGAGAAATAAATACAGAGATAATCTTCAAATAGAAAAAATTAGCTGTCTCATGACTCAAGCGATCAAGCTAAAATAAAAATTTAAGCTAATGATGATAGAAATCTAGGTCCCTCAGATAGGTAGCATTCACCTGTGAATAATGTTAATTAAAAACTGATTAAAAACAATAAAAACAATAGCATCTAATATGATGTCGAGAAATTATTTTAAACAGTATCAGACTTTAGCACTTTCGGCTAAAATAAAAGCGCTAGCTAAGAAAGACAGGCTGATGTCAGAGAAAAATGGATGGCCAATAAAGTGAAGCTTGAAAAGAAAATTCTATCAATGAACAAGAATTAGGAAACTATAAAGTATATTCTTGATATGATAAAGGATAGAAGCAAACCCGAGCCAGATTTCAAATACCAATTGATTAAAGAGAAATATGAAAAGTAAAAATTAGTTCCATTGAAGCAATAGATCAGTATGAAGAGTTCTTTTAAGCCTCAAAATACTCTCAAAATAGACATCGCATATAAAGATTTGGATAAAAAGGCATTTTACTCCGACATTAAGCCTAAGGTAAGGAGAACATTTACCAAATACTATTGAAAGTTGGATCAATCCATATTAAAGTTTAGGAAAATATTTCTTTAAAAAAAATATGATACATAATTAAAACAATATACTTTAATATTAATTTCATTAATAAATCCAACTTGATTAAGGATAAGTTTCTAATAGGGGTTTTGGGGTTTTGGGGG